ATTTTAATACAATATAGTCATTTCTGCATTTGTTTGTGGGGGAGGTCACCTCCTAATAAATGTCATTACGGAAAATCTAACAGCTCACTTTAAATCAATACTTTTACTTTTAATACTTAAGTACAAAAAATATAAGATACTTTAAGACTTTTATTCAAGTAATATTCCTAAAGAAGACTTTAACTTTTACCAAAGTAATTTTTTATAACATATTGTACTTTTACTCAAGTATCACTTTGTGGTACTTTATACAACACTGGTTACCAGAGTGAGGCTGAGATCAAATGGTTAATGCCATCTTAAAATGACTCTAAAATAAYATATTTTATTACCATTTCACTTGAAATGATGTTCCATAAGCATTAGAATCCACTGTGAACAGATCATTACACGGGAATGCCAGAGCAAATATTTTGATATTACTGTTGGAAGTGAGATTTAGGAGATTCTGGACCAGTTCTTTACCGTCTTTAGTGTTCTTGAGGGGGAATGAGAGTTTATCCAAMCTGTCTAAATGTGTTTTGTGGACTTGGAGACGTTGTTCAACCGTGCAGGGTACACTGTGGAAGACGCTCCCTGCACATGGGTTTGGGGGTCAGCTATTATGGGCCATTCAGTCCTTATATAATCGGAGTCTGGTTCACATTGCCAGTGAGTTGGAACACTTCAAGGTTGGAGTCTGACTCCAGGGCTGCCTGTTGTCACAAATTCTGGCAATCACGTTTATGGACAAGATCTCTTGGTGCAGCTAGGAGGTGGAAGGTGTCAAGTTCAGTGGCCTAAAACTCAATAGGAAAGTGTGTACGACCTTCTCTAGGAGCGGGGTACCTCATTTGGAGGAGGTCCAGTTAGTCTAGGTTTTGTTTATGACCTAGGGAAGAATAAAGTGTGAGGTCCACAGCTGGATCAGTGTGACCTCCACAGTATTTCACACTTTGTACCAAGCTGTGGTAAAGAGGGAGCTGAGCTGGGTAAAGCTCACAGTTTTACTGATCAGGTGTTTCTCTCATCTATGGTCACAAAGCCTGTGCAGCTGAAAACAGAGATCACACATACTGGTGGTTGAGATTAGTTTTCTCTGGATCCAATCCAGGTTTGTTTGACCATCTGATGCACACAGAGAAGACCCAAGACGGAGCTGGAAAGAGATGTCTGCCTCCCTGCTGACACTGATGTCCCTCGACCCAGCTGGAGCACTCATCAGAAGGTGCTACAACTAGATAAACTGTGTAACTATGTGAAATTAATGAAAACATAAAAGCTTATAAAATAGAGTTTGCATGAATACATTTCTTTTGTTTGTTAGACTTTAGAGTTGTTGAGCATCAATCCACTTTGGCCTTGACTCCACTTGGACTAGCCTTTAKCTCATCAATACAGTCAAAACAAAACTGTCTCTCCAAACAGGTCATCAAAATCTATTTATATTATGTCAGCTATTATTTGTTCATTAAACTTCTAAAGGAAACCACTTTAGATTATCCAAACTTTCATTGGCTTCCTAGGTGAGCAGACTTCTCACTTTTGTATTGTTTTGATTTGTAAAAGAAACAGAAACAAAAATTACAAAGTCTCAAACAGACAGTTTGGTTATGTAAACCATTTTTTACTTTTGCAAAATTAATGTTTCAAAATAAAATTTTAATGAACTTTAATCTAGATTAACACGGTTGGTCTTGACTGGACAGAGTACAGGAGTGTTATTGTGTCAGAACACTCAAACCTAAAAAAATACGACAGTTTTTTGTCTATTTTTTAATATAATCTGTGTCAGTTCTATCTTTGCAGGTGTTTTGTGTTTTTACTTCTTTTCRGGTTAATTTGAAGTTCCTCTTGCGCTCATTTTGTGTCATTGTGTTTTTGTAATTTTCCACATTTTCTTCTAAGTTGTCATAATATT